AAAATGGGTTTTTAGATGAAATTTTGATATGGATGAGTTTTTTGAAGTTTGAATAAGATTTTTGACTTGTCAAGAGGTTAATTAAGGAATATAGAGTGTTAAAATTGATTAATAACATGTTTGGAATTTGGGTATGATTATTGGTTTTAAGAATTTGAATGAAATATTGAAAATAATAATAAAGTGTTGAAATGATAGAAGTTAGTTAAAATGGTTGTAGTTAAGTTTGGTAGTATGAAATGAACTTTGTATGAGAAAATTTAGTGAAAGGTTGATGATTTTCGAGCTTGAACAGTAAAATTTACAGATTTTACAGAGGGAACCGATTCCCCCTAAAGGAAGAGTTGAGATTTAGTTCATTAAATTTGTTTAAGCTGTTAGGGGTTAATTTCAAGGTTTAGGATTTTGATAATTGTCTCGAAAATTATGTTCATGTAGATATCGAGCCTAAACGAGTTCCGGAACAAGGGACGAGTAAGATCGATCGAGGGAAAGGCAAAGAGATTTAGGTGAGTGTATATGCATATCATGATTATAGAAATACATTCAGGTCTAGACTTGTGATAAGTCTAGATTTTATATCTTGATACATGAATAATAATATGACTTCTAAGTGTACATTACTATGATCATATGTTATGTGTGTTATATGCATTGTTTTACCTGATTTATGTATTACAAGAAAATGTGAAAACAATTATGCAACATGGAGTTATATGATTACATGAAAAGATGATATGCGCTATGTGATAAAGGTAAGAAGTTACATGTCTATGCGATATAAACTACGTGAAATGTAAAAGCCCATGTTATGTAGATGAGAACTATAGGTATAGTTGGCATGCCAAGAGTAGAGGGTCTACGCGGTCTTTCAGGACAAAAATTCTACGTGGCCCTTCGGGACGTATATGTATTCTTTAGAGCATGTATGATGTCTTTTGAGACATGTACTTGATCCTTGGTATATGTATATGATTCTTAAGGAATTTCTATGTGGTCCTTAGGGACATATTATATGGCACTACGATGCAATTCTACGTGACACTTCGGTGCATCTCTACGCGGTCCTTCGGGGCAAATTCTACGTGGCACTTCGGTGCAAATTTATATGAGCTGTGGTGACAGCATAGTGCACAACCTCACAGTACTCACATACCTCGGGTTCTTAGTATTGTATAATGGTCTATTGAATCTATTGAACTTACGAAATTTATTATATGAATTTATGATGATTAAATTGAGAAGATTATTGGTAAGGTACATTGTTATGTAGCTTACATTGATTGCATAGATGTTTTCGTTACGTTTTATTTTATTATAGCATCATTGTTATTATTATTGTGCCTCACTAAGTCTATGACTTAGCGTGTAAGCGATTTACACGTAGGTACGAATAACCAAGATTAGCAGAAATAGAAGTGGCAAAAACAACAACACTGTTAGAAGATCAGATCAGAAGTAATTACTAAAGTATGTATTTTGATTGTGGATAATATGTTGGTATGTAAGAAATATAATAAGTTGTTAGTACTAACGCTCTGATCGACTTTTTCTAATATTTTGAACATATTTATGTAAATGTAAATGTATAGTAATGAATGTTTAAATTTTTACGAGTTTTATGTACGTTTTACGGAAGTACTGTAGTAGTATTGTAGCAGGGTACCGATTCCTTATTTGCATTCTAGAAAATTTGTGTAATCGGTACTGTAGCAGGTTACTGTAGAAGTTACTATTCACAGCAATGTAGCAGATTGTTGTTCATGCGTATTTTAATGTACACAAATACGTTTTTGCCTAAAATTTTTATTATAAACATAATTCAATAATTTATTATAGTACTTTCTTAAAATAAGTTCAAATATTTTGTTATTTTGTAAGGAAAAATGTTTTAAAAATGCAATGTGACATCTCGGACTCGTATTCGGATCGGGTACGGGTCGGGGTGTTACAAATACCCTACCACAGATCAACAGTAGAGACACGAAGAACCATCGAACATTGCTAGAAAACGAGGACGATTAATGGAGAGAGCCACAAAAATCAACCAAACATCATCAAACCAAGATACCAACAGAGAACCCACGAAGAAAACAAAAACACAACCAAAGATCGAGCCACAACCCAAGGCCAGAACACCACACGAACCACAACAAAAAAATAGTAACACCGAACCACAACAAATCACAAACAAACCCGTGACAACATATAACCAAGCCATCAGAGAAAGAGTAAAAAGATCCTCACCGCCGTGTAAAGCGTTGGGAACACCAACGTTCATCGATTTTTCGGGTTATTTCTGAAAGGTAATTCCTAGATCTACGGTTGACGGTTGCCGGTCGTTGGTCGACGTCTCCCCGGTGGAGACACTCTAGAGAGAAGTCAGAGCTTCTCTCTCCTAGAGAGAGAAGCAAATATTGGAAAATGAGAGTGAATGGCCTTAGAAGGCTGAGTTTTGGGGTTTAAATAACCCTCTCCATATAACGTTGTTTCGGAGAGGGGGTTTATGAGTAATTTAATAGCAGTTAAATACCACAATCGGTCCCTTTAAGTCTTCTGGTGTTTTATTTTTGCCATTTAAATTTATTTTCCATTATTTTAATTCGGGACTTGAATTTATTATTTTCACATTTTGATCCCTATTGATTGATTTATTTGTTTATTATTATTTATTTTCTTATTTTTAACCCTTTTTATATTTTTAAATTTTTTTCTCATTATTATTATTATTATTATTATTTTATTTATCTATTTAATTCATTTTATTATTGTTATATTTTATTTTTTTCTCTTTTCTTCAATTTTTATTTATTTTTATTTTGGCTTATCTTTTTATTTTTTTTCTTATTTTTACTTTCTCATTTTTTTCTTTTCTTTAATTCTTTTTCCTTTTGATATTTTTTTCTATTTTCTTTTTCTCCACTGATTTATTATTTTATTTAATTATTTATTTATTTATCTATTTATTTATTTATTATTAGTATTATTTTTTCCTTGGCTTTATTTAATATTTATTTATTTTTTTTGTAACACTTTGACATTTTTTTAGAAGAATTTCAATCAAATCAAAGGTAAGCAATTCAAATCGATTTTTTAAATTGCAATTGAAATTTTTTAATTTTCACAATTAAAGGCAATCGATAAATTAATTGGTACCGAAAGGGCGGTTCAAAATTGCTAATTCTTCCTTGACCGTAACCGACTCTCGGACCCGACACGTTTCTGGTACAACACAAATCAGATAAGATGGTGTTCGATCCACCTAAATTCATTTTAAATGATCGATGACGACTTAAATTCATTTAATCTAAATCGAAACATAATTTCGAATACAACCGAAATACAGTCGGAACAATCAGTACCCTAAAAGGAATAGATTATAAAAAAAACATACGTGTTCAGACAAAGGGACACTTTAAGTCAAGCCCTCATAAAACTTTGATTGAAACTCTCTTCTGGTCCCAGCCCTTTCGTCTGAAATTCCAACACCACCAATATCATGTTACCACCTGCCTTTAACTCTATTTTGATTCCGCACTCTCGCTTTTTGAGCGTGTTTTCAGATACCACTAATTATTATGATGGACGACTCAATATGATGATTGGGCAAATACAAATATTGGTCAAAGCTGTTTTTATTTTTAATTTTAAACGATATTACGGTCACTTAATTGCTGCGAATTCAAATAAACGAATCAAATCCATTTTCATTTTTGAAAACATTATTGGCAATATAATGTAAAACAGGGAAACATAGGTAAATGTGTAAAGAAACCGATGATGATATTAGTAATAAAAATGTGAGAAATAGATTAGTTTCGAAAATATATTAAATATATTTTAAATTTTAAAATCAGTGATAAAAATGATTGTTAATGATATGTTTGGCAATATAAGGGTCTGTTTGTTTCACGTAAAACGTTTTCAGGAAAATATTTTTCTCATTTTCCAGTGTTTGGTTGGAGGAAAACTGATTGGTCAACGTTAAACATTTTCCTGGTCAACATAATTTCCTATGCGTTTTCTAGAAAATGACTTAAGGTCTGATTTTCCGTAAGTCATTTTCCGAACTTTTCACTTCAAAAAATAAATACTCAAAATAATAATTTTATTTTATGAATTTAATATTAATTAAATATTTTACTATCATTTTAATCAAAATATTAATTATTAAAATATTTAAAATATATTTATTAATATTTCTAATAATATATTATTATATTTTTAATATTATAATAAAATAATCATTTATATTATAATAATATAATATAAGATATTATATTTTTATTTTAATAATATATAATAAATTATTAATAAAAGTTATATTATTTATTAATTTCATAGAAATAATAATATTAAATTATTAATAATGAGTAATATTATTTATATATTTAATATTAATATAATACTATTTTAATAAAGATATTTAAAATACACTAATTAAAATTTTTAAAATATAATATAACACTATTACTTTGATAAATAATTAATATAATTTATAATATTTTTATTTTAATAAAATATACCAATATTATTATTTTTTATTAATAAAATTATAAAAATAGTATTTTAATTATAAATAAGTTATTTTAATATTTAAAAATAATAATATTAAGTTTTATGATAAATAATATTATTTATTATATTTAATATTTCTAATAAATAATTTTTAAAATAATTTATCAATTAATAAAATAAAAAATTAAATAATATATTCTAAACATAAACGTTTTTAAAAAAAAAATATTTTTAATAAAACAAACTAAGCCAAAGTATAAAAAATAAAAGACTCATACATGTGAGAGTGTTAGTCATGGGTAATAAGTTTGTTGATATTAATGACGGGAGCGCGTAAGCAGCAGAACCATAAATGGAGGGAACGGGTAATAGATGGAAGGAAAAAGACCCAAAAGTCCCCACCAAAACATTTCATACCAAACTAGGATCAAAGTACCAAAAACTCTTCCTGTTCTCATCCAATCCCTCAGTCTGTTCTTAACCTCTTTCCTTCTCAATTTCCATTTTTTCTTTCATCTCTTTCCTTCCTAAGATTAAACGCCCAACCCCCACAAAATATCTAAATGGAAACCTCTCCGAGGCTGAGCTCCAATCACAGTTTCCTTCCATCTCCCAAAAGCCTCAGCCCCAACAGCAGCACTAGCAGCACAAGCAGCAGCAGCAACAACAACACCGGTCCACCACCGCCAACTCCGCCGTCTCAACACCCCAGACCCATCACCAGACCTGAACCCGCTAACCCCTATCCGACAACCTTCGTCCAAGCCGACACTTCATCTTTCAAGCAAGTCGTCCAGATGCTCACCGGATCTTCCGAGGCGGCCAAGCTAGCTTCTTCCACCAAACCAACTCCTTCCCCTCTGTCCGAACCGAACCCGAAAACACATATCCCACCCATCAAATCCATTCCAAAAAACAAGCAGAATTCTGGGTTTAGGCTTTACGAACGAAGGAGCTCTCTCAAGAACCTCAAAATCAACCCGTTGAACCCGGCTTTCAACTCCAACAATTCCGGGTTTTCGCCTCGGAAACCCGAAATAATCTCTCCTAGCATTCTTGACTTCCCTTCTTTGGCTCTTAGCCCGGTTACTCCTTTGATATCCGACCCGTTTGACCGATCTGGAGCTGGAAATTACCCGAATTGTGCCAATAATAATGCGAAACTAGATAAGGAAGCTGAAGAGAAGGCAATTAAAGAGAAGGGTTTTTATTTGCATCCATCACCGGCATCTACGCCGCGGGAATCTGAGCTTAGGCTTCTCCCACTTTTTCCAGTTACTTCACCTCGAGTTTCAGGTTCTTCTACTTCTTCTTAAACAAAAATAAATCCACCTCTTTTAGTTTTCGCTTCTTTTTTTTTGATATTATTGTAAGAGTTTTACATATTGTTGGGGCACTTAAGATTAGGAATTGGAAAGGAAGGGGAAAGAAACGAGACAGGATTTGTAATGTTGGTTGTCGGATATTTTCAAAGGAATGAAGATAAAAATCTTTGCTTCAATTGTAAAACTGCATGCTTTGTTTGACTTGATTTTTATTGTGGTTGGAAGCTTGGAAATTTTAAGACTTTTGAGTGAAAGAAAACAAACATAAATGAAAATTCGAGACTTCAGTGGTTAATGTATGTGGTGGATGACTGTGAACTCAACTGAAAGGGTGAATCAGTGATTTTTTTTAAAGGTTTTCTCAAGCAGCTCTTGTCAATTTCTTTACCTATCAATAAATGCAAAAGTTAAAAAAGTGATCGAGTCTTGGATCCAAAATCAGCTCCTTTTGCTTGTAAAGACATTAATAAACATCGTAACAAGTGCATAACAGAGAATAGAGATGCCATCATCGAGAGAGAGCGAGTGTTGAAATTGAAAAAAAAAAGAGTTTTGTTTGAATCAAATCAAATGGCGAAAGCAGCTTTGAGGCTAGCTGGCATTAAAAGGAGTATATAAATGGGCAAGGAATCTTGACTCTTTCTTGCTTTTCCTTTTGAGAGGCAGTCATTTCTATGTGCTTTTTTTATTCTTTAATTATAACTTTCTACTTCTAAATACTGTTGTCTTTTAATATATATTTGTTTTCTAGGCTCTACTGACCTTGTGCAGATCCACTATAATGAGTCATACGGGAAAAATGTGTAATTGTTGGGATATAAAACCTGTTCCATTCGATCTTTGCCATTTCATGAAAACTTTTAATGAATTTTAAAAGTTACAACTTATAGTGGACTTGTGATTTTTTGTCATAAAGGGGTGTCAGTTGATGTATGTGGGTGGTGGGGTATAACATTTTCAAAAAGAAAAAAAAGGTAATAAATCTATTGGGCTTGTTGACCAATTTGGTACCAATTTCAGCCACACAAGGGCATTTTATCAAGACAATGAACTCAAAAGGACCCACATGGATAAGGTGTGGAGGGAGAGGGAAAGGGAAAGGGAAAGGGCAATGACCCCATTTTAATTTTCCTTTGAGTTGTCTGAGTCATAGGGTACTTTTAATATTTACAAGAAAACTCTGAATTGTTTTAAAAGCAATCATACAAAGGAAGTTCCTCTTTCTTTGAATCTTGCACTCAAACATTGTTTCAAGTCCCTACCTTTGTTGACTAAAAGGATAAATAAAATAAAAAGAGTCCAGAAGAAAAAGCAGAAAACATGGTGTGGGAGTCACCTGTTTTTGTCTTAGGGTTGTTTGTTTTACGTGACTCTGGTATTGGTTTCAACTTTGAACAAGTATTATTCATACAGTGGGGCGGTTGGTGGGTCATCTAATTTTGAATCTTCCATGTGCACTGTTCCTACACATTTTTCGTAGTTATATTATATCAGATCAAGCTCAGCCCTTTCCCCCAGGTTATCACTTGATTCATTAATTCCACAGTGAATCAGTTTCCCTTGTATTATTAAAGATAGATTTTAGTGTTCAAATTGAAGCGTCATCAAATTTGTTTGTGGCAAAGCAGATGTCCAGAATTAGAATGTTGAAGATGTATTCAACATTTGTTACAAAAATGAAGTTTGAAACCTGAAAGACAATACTGACGAAATCATGGCCCAAATTAGCACACACTAAAGATGATAAGGATACGTATGACTTCACATAACCTGCAGAAATGTATTACGCTGAATTTCTGTTATTTCGGATGTTTCAATCACGCTTAGGCTTAATAAGCCGGCACAAAACAGTTTTATTTGTTTAGTTTATAAATCGTTTTAACTGATAAAATCTTTGAGGTAAAATAAGTCGTTTTGAATAATTTTTTTTTTCAATCATTAGCATACTTACAAGAGATTTCTAAATGAGATCTGAGCATTTATGAGTTGAGATATTTTTTTAGAAATCGATCGATTGTTAATTATATTTTCAACACATTTTGAAACGTTTCAATAGAAACTAATGGACTTAAGCAAGGATGGAGTCAAGATAATAGTTCAAGGGAGAAAAAGTATAATTAATCAAAGAAAATGTGAAGGGAAAAAAATAAAATAAACTAAAATTAGAAGGTCTAATTTAATATTTACTCATATATTTTTTAATAAAAAATAGGGAGATAGTAACACCGAAATGAAGCATAACTTCATTCTAAAACTCAAGTATATTCATTTTAGTAAAGACAACACGGGTAAAAATCTTTATATGTGATTAATACAAGACGTTTATCATGCTCTTGATTTGAAGATCATGTGTTCAATTGTGTGACTATGAGTATTTTATATTCTTCTTCATTGTCTAGGTTACTGAGTGCATGATTCTTCATTGTCTAGGTTACTGAGTGCATGATCCTTAGAAAATTAATTATTTCAAGCTAGTCATGTGTTTATCTAAGACATAACATTAGAAAGGGATTCTCATATCTTATGTATCCTCCATCTTTACATTCTTTGTTTTTTAATCCTTTCATCCATTCTTTTCTTCTACATTTTCGTTATTGTTATTTGATCTAAGAATAGAAAGAGAACCATACATTTCAAACTTCAGAGGTGTCTATTACTTTAAAAATTACATAAAATAGGAGGAATATGTTGACAGGTAATTTTCTTTCTACGACTACGACAAGAAAGAAAAGGTATATGGATTGGAGAAAGCTATTTGAAATTTCAAAAGGGCACGACCTATAATTTTATCCTTCGAAGATTCGCGATGGGTCTCCGGTGATTCAACCTCCGCCTGAGGTTTTTAAAGATGGGATTGCGGAGTGGAAGCTTTCCTTAGTGTGGCAATTCCTCGGGCCACCTCCGAATTACGCCTCAATGCAAAGAATTATCGAATCCATGTGGAAAAAAGCTTTGAATGGTAGTCGGGTTCAGATCAGTAAAGCATGTAACAACCTTTTCATCTTTTCTTTTAATTCGAATGTTGCTAGAGATTGGGTGTTAGAACATGGACCTTGGCATATCTTCAACAAACCTTTAATTCTTAGGAGTTGGGAACCTAATCTGAAAAAGCTTAATTTTGACCTAACAAAAATCCAGTTTGGGTTCACCTATTCAATGTGCTTTTAGAACTCTACTCTCGAGCTAGTCTTAGTCATATTGCAAGTGTCATTGGAGTTCCCCTCTCCATGGACTCTGTTACAGCAGCCAAAACAGGGTTATAATTTGCAAAAATCTGCATAGAAATTGGGCCAAATGATAAAATACCTGAGTATGTAGAGGTTGTCTTAAATGATGGGTCTGTTACTTCAGTATTTGTTGAAATCCCTTGGTTACTACCAAGTTGTAGGATCTGTAAAGTGTTTGGGCATACTGAGAAGAGCTGTAAAGATCATAAACATTATGCCCAACCTACTACACAAGTATGGAAAAGGAAAGAAACTCCACAAAGTACAAATTATTGAGTTAATCGATCGATGAAATCGGCCAAGAGGGGGGTGAATTGGCAATTTAAAAATTGGTGGAAGTTTTTGCAGAAAATTGAAAATAATTGCACAGCGATTTAGAGTGGTTCGACTTTCTCAACCAAAGTCTACGTCCACTTCCTTAGCTATCCACACTAAGGATTTTCCAACAAATTCACTAATTTGTTCTTTCTTTTGAGACCAAAGAGATAACCTTACAACTCCCTCAAGATTATACCCCAATTCTTGAGAACACTCTTTCTCAAAGAGAAGATTACAAATTCGCAAACTTACAAGGAAAAACCTCACAAGGTAAATGTGTTTTCACAATTATAGAACAAAGAAAAGAACACTAAAAAATGAATACAATTGAGTACAAGAAGTGTTTTTGAAAGCAAAATGAATATTGAATGAAAAATAGGCTTGAATTGCTCAAACAATGAGTTTGATGCTTTCTCTTTGATTCTCTCTTGATTCTAGTTGCTTGTTGTTTCTTATTTTTGATCAATGGCTTCTAAGCTTGTTTAAATACACCTTCAAATGATTCTGAATGTTGGGAATGCTTAGTGGAGTCAATAGAGCCGTTTAAGTGTGAAAACAATTAATTAAAGCAGTTGGGAGTGTTAGTGCATCAATGCATACCCACGGTGCATCGGTGCATCAGTGTAAAATTCAAATATTTTGACCGTTAGAACCTTAGTGCATCGGTGCACTAAGAGTGCATCGATGCATAAAATGCATTCGATGTTTCAAAATAGCCAGAGTGCATCGATACATGGCTAGTGCATCGATGCATCAAATGCACTGAGTGTATCGATGCATGGTATGTGCATCGATGCATAAAATGCATTCGATGTTCAATTTAATTCATGGTACATCGATGCATGGATTGGAACATCGGTGCATCACTTTGAAAAATTGATTTTAGGCTTGATTTTGGTTCAAAATACTTTGTGAAAATTGTTTCAAAAATAGTTTAAGTATAAAACACAATTTTACACATTTAGTAAGGTTTGAAATTGGTCTTGAAAGACTTGGAGTAATAATTTGATATTCGATTAATTAACCAAATATTCTTAGAAAATCATTTGTAAAATCTTAAAATTCATTTAAACTTAATTTGTTATATCGAAACATCAAAATGTTTTCAACACAAATACAATAGAACCTTCAGTAGGAGGAATTGAGATGTTACAAGAAAATTTGCCTTATGCTAACAACACTAGTGAGGAGCTGAACTCAAATGAAGTTGGTACTAACTCTGATAACAATAATACTCCCACTGATCAAATGGATTATGCTGATAAAGAAACTACATTAGTCCCCGACCCTACTATTTCTTTAGTGGAGGTTAATAACCCCGAACCTCTTTTATTAAAACGGGAAAGAGGAAGGCCTACAAGAGACATTTCGAAATATGTACTTGATGGATCAAGAAACAAGTTCGAAATCCTATCAACAGTCGAAGATTCACCTTCTGTTCCTAATGATGTTCAACCTAAGAAAAGAGCAGCTTCTAAAGCTGTTGCTAATCTTGTGAATGAACTAAAAGCAAAAAAGAATGATCATTTAGAGAAAGTAAAATATGTTGAAGTGGGAGTTAAAGTGGATGTTACTTCCTCTCCTTCTCAATGATTGTGGGGTTTTGGAATATAAGAGGACTCAATAGTCCTCTTAAACAAAGTGGTGTTCTTAAGAGAGCTACTCTTACAAATGTTGATGTTTTTTGCCTCTTGGAAATTATAGTTAAAACTAGTAATGTTTCTTTCATTCTTGATACAAAGTTTGAGAACTGGAATGTTTGTAATAACTACAACTTTGCTGAGAATAGAAGGATTTGGATCCTCTGGAAGAAACGCATTGATTTCTCTGTTATCCATATGTATGATCAGTGTATCACTATTAAAGGTCAATATCTTAGTATTCTTGTGATCATCACTGCTATATATGGCAATAATGATGGTGATTTGAGAAGACAACTTTGACAGCATCTTCATGAAGTGAGCAGTCAGCATGTCAACCTTCCTTGGATTCTGGGAGGAGATTTTAATGTTATACTCAATTCGAATGAAAGCTCTAATTCTGCCATGTTGGGTCATTTTCTTACCTCAGACATGAAGGAGTTCCAAGATGCTATGTTTGACTTGGAATTTCTTGATCACCCTTATTATGACCCTACCTTCACCTGGAGCAACAAACAACAAGAATCATATCTAGCAAAAAATCTTGATATGGTCTTAGTTAATCCTCTGTGGTTTAGTACTTTTCCTAAATCCCATGTGGAATTCCTTGCTCCTGGAATTTCTGACCACTGTTAGCAATTGCTTGGCTATCTAAAGAGGTTCATGTTGATCATCCTAAGCCTTTCAAATTTTTTAACTTTTGGATCCATCACTCTGAATTCATAAACGTAGTAAGTCAATCCTGGCAATCTTCTTCCCAGGGCAATCCTATGTAGCAGTTTTTCTTCAAACTTAAACGCCTTAAAACCTGTTTGAAAGCCCTAAACCAAAATCATTATAGCAACATCTCTGCTCATGTTAAGCAAAAGAAACTGGAGCTTGAGGAACAACATATCAGATCATTAAATTTTGCAGATTCTTTCCAAAAAGAACTCCAATTGCAAAATGAGCTTCATCTCCTTGAAGAAGTCGAGAACATGTTTTTAAGATAGAAAATGAAGATTCAATGGCTTAATCATGGCGATAAATGTACTAAATTTTCCACTATGTAGTTGCTACTAAAACCGAGAGGGACACTATTCGAGTGCTTAGTGATAACCAAGGGAAAAGATCATAATCTTATAAGGATATGGCTGCAGAAGTGTTACGGTTCTTTACAAACCTGATTGGGACTAAAAATTCTAAGGTAAAAGCATGCGATCCGAACACTTTAAAAGAACTGCTCCAATACTCTTTGCCTTTGGAAATCTCAAATGATCTTGTCAAGGAGGTCACAAGAGATGAGATTAAAGATGCTATCTTTTCTCAAGGCAACGATAAAGCTCCAGGTCATGATGTCTACACTCCATATTTTTTCAAGAAAGTATGGCCTATTATTGGAGATGATATGGCGGCAACTATTACTCACTTCTTTAGAAAATCTTATATACAGCCTACTGCTTTTAATGCCACTTGTATTACTTTGGTGCCTAAAATTCCAAATCCAAGCAAGGTGAAGGATTTTAGGCCCATTTCTTGTTGTTCGGTGGTCTATAAAGCTGTTTCTAAAATGTTGGTCAAACGATTGCCATCTCTGTTTCCTGAAATTATTTCTTTTAACCAAACTGCTTTTGTTAAAGGAAAGAACATAGTAGACAACACTCTTCTTGCACAGGAGCTTGTCAAAGGGTATGAAAGGAAGACAATATCCTCAAGATGTTCACTGAAAATTGATCTCCATAAAGCTTTCGATTCTTTGCATTGGGATTTTATCTTTGCTACTCTCATTGCTATTGGTCTTCCTGTCACTTTCATTAAGTGGGTTGAAGCTTGTTTCACTACTGCTCGTTACTCTATATCATCTAATGGAAGTCTAGTTGGGCTCTTCAAATGTGCTAGAGGATTAAGGCAAGGCGACCCTATCTCTCCACTTCTTTTTGTACTTTCTATGAATGTCATTTCTAGTATTCTTAACAAGGCTGCTATTAGAGGTATTTTTGGCTTCCACCCAAGATGTAAAAAATTGGGTTAACTCATCTTACCTTTGCAGATTACTTGCTTATTTTTTGTCGAGGGAATGTTGAATCTGTTGTGGGGGTAATTAGTGTTCTTGATCACTTCTACGAAATCTCTGGCCTTAAGCTTAATGCACAAAAATGTGAATTCTTCACTGCTGGAATTCCCCATAGGAAAATTGAAGAAATCAAGCAGATTACAGGTTTTAACCATGGTTGTTTACCTGTTAGATACTTGGGTGTTCCACTAGTTTCTAGGAAACTTTTGGAAAAAAACTGTGTAACACTTATTGATAATATTAGAGACCGTCTTCACAAATGGTCTAGAAGACATTTGAGCTATGCTGGTAGACTTGAGCTAATTAAAACTGTTCTGCAGAGTATTACTAATTTCTGGTGTATGCAGTTAATCTTTCCTCAATATGTGCTTAATCGAATCGAGCAATTATGTTCAAGGCTTTTATGGAAATATTCTGATAAAGCTGCTACTAGTGCAAGAGTTAGTTGGGATAAGCTTTGCCTCTCGAAATCTGAAGGGTGTCTTGGTCTTAAAGACATAAAGTCTTGAAATAAATCTTGTATTTTGCATTTGATTAGGAAAATCCTTGCGGGTGATGGTTCGTTATGGATTACATGGATTAAAACTTATGTTATCAAAAATTCTAATTTTTGGATCATGGAGGTTGGGATCAATACAAGCTGGAGCTTTCAAAAACTGCTAAGTATGAGGCCTCAAGCTGCCTTTGTTTTTGCTTCTGAAGCACAATCAATCAAAGACATATGGCACCTAATTCGAAACAAAAGGACAAGGTTACTTGGCATAAGCTGATATGATTTCCTCTTCATGTTCCTAAGTACAATATTATTACTTGGATGGCTTTCCTTGACAGATTACAAACCAAAGATAGGTTGATTCGAATGGGGTTCAATATTGATGGTAGTTGTGTGCTTTGTAATGATTCGATGGAAACTAGAGATCACTTGTTTCTCCACTGTACTTTGGCAAATTTGATATGGAGCTCTTTTTTGAATCTAAATGGCATTTGCAGAGGATCTTGTTCGTGGGGTACTCACATTTCGTGGGCTTTTGCTTCATGGAAAGAAAAATCATTGCTAACTACTATCATGAAGCTAGCTTGGAATACTTTTACTTACACTATTTGGGAGGAGATGAACAAAAGAATTTACCTAGGACGCTCAAGAAATGTTAATGACTTACTCCTTGCTATTAAAGATTATGTTGCTATTCAACTAAGGGGTAGGGAAATTAATAGAAATGACTATGTCAATAGTACACTTTGTAATCAATAGGGTATAGATTATTGATGTTTTGTTTTTTGATGTATATAGCTTGTAAGTATTGGTATTTTTGTATGAACAGACTGTAATTTTGAAGCAGTTTCTTGCTCTTTTGGATATTAAAATTGATTGATTTATCCAAAAAAATTATAATAATTAAATTTTAAAAATAAATTATTCATAGAAAAACAAATAAAGATTAAATTTAAACAATGATTATGAGATTCATATGAAAAATAGATAAAGATTTTCGATAAAGCAAAATAGGAAAGGCAATAAAAGTTATTATTAGTAATCGCCAATAGTTTGTTTTGAATTATTACCTAATTAAAATGATTCATAGTCTTTAGACAATAATTTCCCCCAAAACCTTTCTTCTCCACCAAGAAGACTACTTTTACCATATATTCAATTTTTAATAAAAAAACCTAAAAATTAAAGAAATAAAAAATCAAACTTCCATTTAATCCTCTTTATTACATAAGAAAAATATACGCTTTTTTTCATTTTTTAAAAATAAAATTTCTATACTTTTTCCATTTGATAAAAGTAGAAAAAAATAAAGTTAAAAACTATTTTTCAATACTTAATTAGAATTAAATAGTATAAAAATAAAAATAATTTTTATTGAATTTATTTCAAAATCTTGATTTTACTTAATGCATGAGTGTCTTATCCCATTTCACTAATAGGGTTTAGGGGTCCACCACACGATTTCCTTGAGGTTCCTCGCATGGCCTCCTAAGTTTACACATAGAAAAACTATAAGAGCAAAAAAGGGGGGGACTTTCTCAGATTCTTCAGAAAAAGCCAAATTTGTTTGTTAGCGGCCAATTTAATTAATTCAATTTTAGTTCTCCTTTGCTTTTTGCATGGCACTGTCACTCGCTGCTTAGTTAGCTTACCTCTGGGTATCCAATATCCATCTTCCTCTCTCTCCTTCCCATACGTTTCTTTATTTCTTTTTCTGCTCTTTGATTTTCTCAACCCCTTCCGATTTCTCATTTGGGTACCCTTGTTTTCATCTTTTCTTTATTTCTGTACTCGCAGAGTAATGCCCATTCATGTTTTGATTTTCTTTTTTTCTTTTATCAATTATTGGCTTGGTTTTTATAGTGACAGTGAAGAATTTTGTTTTCTTTCTGAAAGTAATCATGGTAGGTAAGGATAATTGGGATGCTGAAAAAATGTGAGTTGTTCTTTTTCTTGTACCTGTTTTCGCTCAAGGGTGTTCTTGACATTCGTGGTTTTTCTTTTTGCTTCGCGATTTTTCTTCTTGCCTTTTTGTTTTATGGTTCTGATCATTGTATTTCAATTATATCATTCACTCGTTGAAGTTGTGTTTGTTGGATTTGGGGGACATAGGCTGGATCTTTACTTGCACGATTACTTGGTGAAGAAGAATATGCACGAGACGGCTGAACTCTTTAGACAGGAGACCGGTATTCCTCACCGTTCTGTTGGTATGTCCTCTCTCTTTTTCATTCTTATTTTCTTTAATTTCCTTCACTTTAACTTACAAATCTATTTCTTAATGGCTGATTCTATGGTTTTCAGTAGATAATTCTCGATGTTGAAATACTTGGCGTATACATTTTAATTTCATATGAAATATCTTAAAGCTTATACGACTAAACTCACACCCATGCGTAGCTCATTTATGTTTATGTTATCTTTCTGCAAGAACAAAGATTAATCATCAGTTGGTCTAATTATTTTAAAGGGGTGTTTTTTTTTTCATCTTTATGTAAGGTTTGTTATGAATTTTAGCATTAATGCGTGAATATATCAGGAGTTTCCTCTTCTCTTATGTTTTAAATGTTTTTGAGATTATTTAATGTATATGGTGTAATTTGTTGATTGGAGAGAAGGGTTATTTTTCAGTGATTGATTCTCCCGAAGGACTCCTTCAAGAATGGTGGTCGCTATTTTATGACATATATTTCACTAGGCAAACAAAGCTTCAAGGGCACTCCGAGGCGGAAACCCCTATTATGGTGACTGTTTGTGGAATTTGGGATCATGTTGTGCGGTAGCTTTTTTTGTTGTTGCAAACCTCATAAACTTACGTTCTTATTGTCCCTATCTCAGGCTGAAAAAATGGAAGATCAATCACAGAATCTTGATCCAATGTTTTCGCCGCAATTGATGATAAATCGGCGAATGGCTCGACAGGTTCATATTTCCAGATACTCTGATTCCAGTAATCTATTACTTGAAACTAATCAACTGAGCCTCCCGAACTCATTTGCAGCCAGTTCAAGGTAATATATATGTGTTTTACTGAAATGAAGGCTTCTATAAATTTATAATTGACAAACAGGTTGTAGTTTCTTTGTCTTCTTTATTTCCTTTCTGCCAACACAAAATATATTATGTAAACTGAGATTTTTATCGTGGAATGCTCAGCGTTTTAATTAATAAAGTGTTTCAACCTTTTGATACATATTTTAAGATCTTTCACATTTTTTTCATGTATCAGCCTTCTGCAACGACAGATAAATCTCACTCAGCATCAAGTTAAGAGGGTAGAATCTCAACTATTTACTTGTTAATAAAACCAGCTGGTTGTTATTAATTTTTCTAAATGTTAGAAACTTTTTCAATTTACAGGAACAAATTCAAGGCAGTAACTTGGGGAGAACCTTTCCTATTAATTCAGTCATCTCTTATGGGGCAGAAAAAGGCAAACTTCCAGTAACCAGGCCTCATGCTGCAGGTTGGCTTGCACTTTTGTCAGATTTGAGTTCATGCTGGAAAACCTGATCGTTTTTACTTGTGTATATTCAACGATGGGATGAATTATAGATATCTGATATATTTTGACAAGCAGGAGATGCAGACAGTGTTAGACTTGCTTTACTTTATTTTGTGGGCACTGCAGTTATATATATGTTATATATGTCAAAGCTGTGGTCTTTATCTTTTCAGGCTTGAATACATCAATCGATCCATCACCACTAAATGGATGGCCTTTAGATGTAAGTGGCATATTAATCAATATTTGTTGGAGCCTTGCAAACACCAATTTTTGGTCCTTTTTGACACCGTAGATATTTAAGTCCTGCCACGTGTAAATATAAGTGTGCTTAAAGTTCCATTAACAGTTCTGTAGTTGAGCTAGCTTACCTGGTTTGGGGTGTAATTTAAATTTACTCTTTCAGGCCCCAAACTATCAGCAACAACTTCAAATATTGAATTGTCTGCCAGAGAAATCAGATAAGGGGCTGCTGCCCAGAAACCCGACACCTACTTTTCCAGGAAGCTCTGCCAAGTTCAATTATCATAATCTGATAATTCCTAAGCAGTACATAATTGAGAATAACAGATCGGTCAGTTGAAGCAGTAACATAATTTTTTGAGCATCAATTATTGTCATTTTATTTCTGTAAAGATGGTATATATTCTGCATCTAATGGATTTGTCATTAGATTACCCTCTGTAAGATGCTATGACCCATGATGATATGTATGCTATCAACTCTCTCCTTTAAATAGTCTAAAATTAAAAAGAATCTTATAGTAGGAATCATATGACTCTTATATGCTTGTGTTTATTGGTTTCACTTGTTAGAAGCTCTTTCACTCTCATTTGATGGGGGAACTATCACAATTCTTATCCCATTAGTGATTGATTGTTGATGAACCAGATGACAATCCAAATAGCACAAACAGAACATCGAAACCGTTATAATTTGCTGCAGCAACTGCAGGTAATATGCAAGTAATTCTTAAGAAATGCTAATGCTGATTCTTCCCCCATCTTGGTTGAAAATCCTGGAAAAGTATGTGTCTATGTGCATGTATAATATGGTATCTTATGATTTTATTTTCTTTGATCAGGAAGGTAGAAAGAAAAATAAATTATCAAATTCGACATTGGCAGATCAGAAATTGGTATGTCATAAAACTTTGGAAAATCTTTGAGGTCTTTTCCTCTGTCATTGACCTGTGATATATAAGGGGAATTGTTCCATTTTAGTGGAGAATGTCGTCATATTTTCTTGATCTATACTTCCTGTGTGATATTTTTGCTTCTTTTTTTTCTTTGAGCAGAATTTTGCTTTTATTTGCATCATGATTGTTGCCTGCTTCATGGAATGTTCATCTGCAGGATGATATCAAGGCTGAGGAGTACAAACCTGTTGATGGCACCGTTGATTCTTTTCTGTCCCATGATGATGACGACGTTGATAATAAAAGCACTCCTTTCAATATTTTAAGGCACCGTTCTAACAGGCTTAATAAAACTGAACATAAAGGTAATCCTAAATTCTGTTAACACTAACAGAAAAATGGTTTTCAGTTCTCCTTAGGTACCGATGTAATGGAAATAGAGATTTTATAATGGTTATTATCCAATATAGAAAGGTGCAACTGAACTTAACTTTAGCTGTCTATGAACTATATTTGGTTGTAGCAATTAATCAAGATCGACAATGAAAGCTTTCTCTCACGTTTTTCTCCATCAAACTTGGTGTAGATTATGTGTGTGTCATACGAAAGTACGTACCCTGTGATTTTTCGTAAGAGAAAATAGTATGAGATCCTGTCATGAAGAAGCACTTGTGGCAGTATAACAGTAAAGATAATACTGAAACAACCATAATAAAATGATATTTCATCACTGGTGTAGGCTTCACATTTGAAGAAGTTAGTTGCCTCCACTCAAGCAAAAGCAAAGTCTTGAGCTGCCATTTTTCATCAGATGGGAAGTTTCTAGCGAGTGTCGGGCATGAAAAGAAGGTGGTATTAAGGTGCAATGCAGCTTTTTGTTCTAACAATTTTTTGTATAAGCCTAGAGCTAATTGCAGTATTCTTCTGTCAGGTCTTGATATGGAATATGGAAAGCCTTGATTTTGTTAGAACTTCGGAGGGCCATTCTCTTCTCATTACTGATGTTCGTTTTAGACAAAGTTCAACCATATTTGCAACATCTTCTTTTGACCAAACTGTCCAAATATGGGATTCTGCCAAGGTAACAATTTTCTTCTGTAATTTTATCAGATATTTATTTAGTATTTGCTAAATTTCTGTCTGCTTGGCCATTGTATAATTAATGTCTTTTATGGGGCTCTTTTTGTTGTTTAGCTGGGAAGACTAATAAACTGCAATTTTTTTTGACAATGTCTTCATTTCTTTGCTCTGCAGCCAAGCAAATCACTTTTCAAGCTTTTGGGGCATGCTGAACAGGTTTTGTCATTGGATTTCCACCCTAGAAATGTGGATCTTCTTTGTTCCTGTGATAGAAATAACGAGATGCGATTATGGAATATCAACCAGCGTACTTGCATTCATGTCTCTAAGGTCAGTTTCTTAGCATTTTATCTTTTAGAATTTCTCGAACACATCTTAGTTTACTACTAATTTAGATTACTAGTGTTACCATTTTTTCTTAGTTTGTTGATAATAATACATCATTAACACTTGAAATTTTGTGTCTAATTTTATCTTCCTAGAAAATTTGTGTTAGATTTTGAAATTTGGTGATGCTTCTATCACTTGTAAAATCGTTTTTTGGCTATGCATTTCAGCTCAGCATACTTCTTGAGAGACAGTTTATGCTTGGCAAACATTGAAATGGTTGAAATCTACAGTTTTAGAATCTTCCGTTTTACATCCTTGTGGGTTTCTACAAAATAAATTCTGTGGACAGGAAGTTTTAACAACATCAAATTATTCTTTGTTTGGCATAACTCATTTAGCAAATAAAAGTACTTGTAAATGACAACCTCACTTATGCTTATCACAATTTTCTTATGGGGTGACTGCAGGCAGTTACTAAACAAGTCCGATTCCAGCCTGGACTAGGAAAGTTAATTGCAACTGCTTCGGGGAATGGTGTCAATGTTATTGATGTCGAGACTAACAAGCCTCAATTCTGTTTGAAGGTTGATTCACTCTCTATGTTATCATAACTTACATGCATCTAAAAGTCCATTTGTGTCCTTGCTTATCTGAACGATTGTTATATTTCATTCAGGGGCATGGTAAAGATGTTCTTTCAATTTGCTGGGATCCATGTGGCAAGTATATTGCCTCCATCAGTGAAGACAGTGCACAAGTGTGGTCAGTATCCGGGGGAGAATGCTTACATGACTTGCGCTCAACAGGCAACAAGTTCCAGTCCTGCGCATTTCATCCAGCGTACTCACAACTCTTGGTCATTGGTGGCTACCAGGTGAAGTATTCAGAATATTATTTACAAAATATTGTCTGTTCCTCGTATGTTTGCAGGCGTTTTTTTGATATAGATGTTTATCATGTCATGTGGAGGAAAGTGTTTTAAATAAATATATAGTTGTAACATAAAAGAACTAGGTTGGCTAACTTAATAGGCTGACTTTCTCTTGGTCTGATGTTCATTCAACGCTCTGCCATCCTCTTGCAATCTTTGCCAATGCCATTCTACCTTTCTATTAAGATCAAATTTGTTTTTTTCAACAGTGTCTTGAATTATGGAATCCAATTGAGAGCCACAAAACATTGACAGTTGAAGCACACAAGGGACTTATTTCTTCACTGGCGGATTGTCTGCAGACTGAAACGATCGCCTCCACAAGCCATGACCAGCGCGTTAAGCTATGGAAGTAAACATCCTTCTCCATGATAACTCATGCATCTGCTTGTACAGGTACCGGGCCGAAGAGGCGCCCGTTTAGTGGTGAAGTTTATAGAAGTATAGATAGACTATATACTTACATGAAATCTTTACAGGTAGAAAAATGATGGTTTTTCATTTTCTATTTTCTTGTCTACTGCACTTCCGGACTTGGATCCATTTGTTTTTACTTGGGAAATGGAGGAGTATACTTAAAACTGCTTATTTCTGTCAGAAGAATGAAGTTTTCTATGGGAAATGCTGCTCTCTCAAGTGAAAAACGAAAAGAACGAAGATTTTCATAATCAATGCTTAGCTAATGATGACATTAGAATAGATTTAGATCCAAAATATTGTCTATATAAGACGAAATAATGCACAGATTATGAAACTAGTGCGTAATATCATGGCAATAGGGAAGAAAACTCACGAAATTCTGGGCTTCATCATCGTTATGACTAGTTTAACATTGCTTTTGAAAATCGTTTTTTTTTAATGGGGTTTTAAAAGCATTTCTCTGCAAACTAAGGGTTTCGTTGGCGCTTTCTCTTAATTAGGGATAGAGACCCGAACCCGACATGTTCCGACCCGATCGGGCCGTTTTTTTTTAAAAAATTCGGGTTCGGGTCGGCCGGATTTTTTAAAAGTAGTGTTTGGATCGGATAGGATTCAGTTTAGGATGAAAAATATTCGATCTGACCCGACCAAAAAAAAATTATAATTTTCCTTATATATTTAGGAATAATTATAATAATACTCCTCTATATATTATTTTTTCAATTAAATTACTGTTTTTGTTGAATAAAAATAATATTTTATTATTATTTCGGGTCGGGTCAAGTCGGGTCGGGCTCGGATTTTATTTTAAAAAGTCAAGTTGTATTGGATCGAGGGGAGGGTATATATTATACGAGTCAGGTCAGGTGAACCAAAAATCTGACCTAATCATATTCATGTCCATACCTACTCTTAATCCTTGTATTCATAGTGATTCGGCATCCTTGTCTCTTGCACGTCTGTGTGGGAGTTGCAGGCTCTGGTAAGGTGTCCATAAACTGTTGGGGAAAATGAAACTGAGAGTTTGATGCTGTTGTCAGGGGTTTCAAACTCAAGTTTTTGGATTTTATAGATTGAAAACTCTGACGGTGTGTTTGGTTCACTGAATATAAGAATATCAGTTGGAATAAAATATTACCAGAGAATAGGATTACTGGGAATGTTGTATTTTGTGTTTGGTTGGTTTAGTAGGAATGTAAGATTACTGTGTTTGGTTAAAGGAATAAAAGATTATTGGAATGTATATTTAATCAAATTGTCCTTATTATATATTTGTATAATATTACAAGTTGTAAAATATTTATATATTTTCTTTAAAAAATTAAATTCATAATATTTCTATAACTTTTTTTACAAAATTAAAAATATAAAAAAAGTTTAATGAAAGGGTAAAATTTTATTTTAACCCCTGAGCTTCATATAAAATTTTAATTATAGATTTTTTTTGTAAATCTAAAGTAATTTAAGGATAAATTTGTAATTTAACCTTCGTAGAATTTTTATTATTCAATGACAGAATAATGTTATTTTTGAAAAAAATAAAAATTTAAGGGCATTTTAGTCCAAAACACCGATAATGTTACAATATCTAAGGGACGGGAAGTAATGACATTCCCGATAATATACCCTAAAAAATTTACTATTAATAATAAAACATTATCGGGAATATGGATTGTAATGCTTGTAGTGAGTCCATGTGTGAGAAAAGAGGCAAGTGCTGCAGAAGGTGGGTCTGGAGAGAGAAAAGGCAAAATCAACCAATGGAAGCGGCCTAAAACAAAACAAGCCCAGAGGAAGACATATTGGCCCATTCAACTCACAAGACTCAAGTCTCAAAGGTAAAAGGAAAACAAAGGTTGACACAAAAGTGGAGGCTAGAGGAGCAGTTGTAACCTCTTTAGTTCCACTTCCATCACGTTATTGTATTTATTTCTAGACTTGTCAATAATTTCCCTTAGTAAAGTCATCACGAAATTGTGAGATAAATAATTAATTCCGCCTACTGAGTTAATGTAAGTTTATTTTGGTGATTAATTTAAGGGTTTATCAAATGAGATGAATTTACTATTTCTTTCTTTTTAACGGAAACCGTTAGTTTTTAAAAAGAAAAAAATCAAAATTATAATTAATGTTTATAATTGTAACTATAAACTAAATACATAATCAGAATATTTTCTTATAACTTATAACACTAGAAACTAGTCAATTGAGATTGTAGACACCCGTTTTTGTCCGGGTCTTTTCTATCTAATTATTATTATTATTATTATTATTATTATTACTATCTAATTATTATTATTATTATTATGCTTATTTTTATTAACATATTAATACAATTTTTGCAGGCCAATTATTGAGGCCCGATCAGCTAACCTACCCATGAGCCCAATTACAACATTTTCCAGGCCCAGTACAATGACCAGAAGCCCACTTGGATGGCCCAGTAACTAACCCTAACTCTAGGGTTTCTCCTTCTCTGCTTCAGCCGTCCCTCTCACCAGCCGTTGGATCTGGACCTAAATCAATGGTCCAGATCAGGAGATATTTAGGGTTTCAACCCTAATCCCCTAACTACTCAGCCACCGCCTTGAATTCCTCAATTCCCAGCCGCCGCTCAAGCCAGATTCCCATTACCGAGCCGTCGTCGAGTTCCCGAGTCACCAAGCCGAGCCTCCCTTCCGATCGTATCTGATGAACGCATCAACAACAGTGACCAAAATCCGAACGCATCAACAACAGTGACCAAAATCCCTCAAACAGTGAAAATGGACATAAAATCAAAAAAAAATCCAAAAGAAATCTTATCCTAATTCTAGGATATTATAACCCTACGAAAATCAATCGTCCATCAAATATTAGCTACGCATGCAAGACTAAGAGGAAGACCATAAATTGAAAGAAAAAACGAAAAAGGAAGACGGGGAGGAGATTCGGAAAAAAAAAACGATATTCGAAAAAAAGAAAATAACATATAGAGAAAGAAAAGGGGAAGTCTTACCCTTGTAGATCTATCCCTTATCAACCTCACCAGAGCTTGAAAAACCCTGAATCGAAGGTAAAACGTTCTTTTTTCTTGAATCTAGGTTTGGATTAAAAGGGGTTCTCGGTTTTTTTGGTGGGGTGAAGGGTTGGGTTTTCAAAGGAAATGAGGAAGAAAGAGGATTGAGGGTCTTTAGGGGTCGGTTTGCTCCCCATGGCCACCGATACGGTGGCCGGGGAGCCTCTGTTTTGTTGTTGCGGCGAGGGAGAAGGGAGAGTAGAGAAAGGGAAAGGCAAAAGGAGGCTGAGAGAGGGGTTTGAAAATGATTTAGGGTTCGGTTGGTAACCCTTAAATTGGGATTATATCCCATCTTCAATACGGCGTCGTTTTAGGCCTAGGGAGGGAGACCAAGTGTTGGGTTTAAGGGTTAATGTCAACTTTGGTCCTCGTTATTTTGTAATCTCATATGCGTTTTTTTTCCATTTTTGGGGTAAATTACAGTTTAAGTACCTTGAGCTTTGTAATGCTTGTAATATGATCCTTAATGAAATTTCATCTTTCTAGTTCGATCTCTTTATTTATTTCGTGTTTCGTTTTAATCCTATATGATTAGTATTACATTTTCTAAGTGTTTAGATTTTTGGTTGCTTATTTTGTATAGTGTTCGTTTTAGTCATCATTTACATGTTTTATGTAATTATTTGACTTTGAGCCTTTATCTTTACACTGTTATAAACTAGTCACTATTCATGTTTTATATCATTTTGTCTATATTTGATTCTGGTTTTAATATTTTCAAATATTTCAATTTGATCACTGATTCAATGTATTTTATAATCTTTGTGTTATTCGAATTTGGCCACTACATTTGTAAATATTTTATTTTAGTCATTGTTTTAGTTTTTTTGTTTAATTATTTTTTAATTCTCCATGTTTCTGTGAAATTTCATTTTAGTCCTCTATATTATTTTTGGGTTATCTTCATTTTGATACATGTATTATTTAATATTTGTAATTCGGACTTTGGTTTTTTTACTGTTTAGTCCCATTAGTTTCTATTTCTTTATTTTGGTCCCTAAATTTCTTTTTCTTCTGTTTTTTAACCTATTCAATTTCTGTATTTGCTATTTACTCCCTTAAATTCTTGTATTTACTATTTTAGTACATCAAGTTTATGTTTTTCTTCCTTTTGATCCTTGTAATTACAAATATTTACCTTTTGATAATCTTATCTTGGTTTATAATATTTCTTTTTTATTTTAGTCATTTATGTATGATTTTATTGCACTTATTATTTGGTTATTTGTATTATGTAAATAATGTTCTTAATTTCATTTAATGTAAATATTTTATCTTGTATTTGCAATTACATTTGTTTATATTACGTTTTTATCCATGAATGATTATTGATTTTATTTTCAAGTACGTATGCGTAGAATGAGCGTGGAAAGTACCACTTGATCGAAGTGGTGTGATCCGGTACGGCATTTTAACGACATAAAAATTTGAAATAAGTCGAGTATATTTTGCTAATTAATTTGTTCAAACGATGCAATGTGTGTTATTTTAAGTGACAATTTATTTTATTTTATGTGAATGTAAATTTCAAATTTTTTAATTTGTATTCAATTCACGTTTAGTTAATCAATTTACTCGTATGTAAACATCGTTTTTAGTTATATTTGATTCGTATTTTTTTTACATAATCAATGGTAGAATATTCTTTTACAAATGAGAAATAGTTGAAATAGCTTTCCCGACGGAGGATTGCAAATTTCAAGATTTCTTATCGAGTTAAAAGATTTTCTTTAAATAGTTAACTCGAAGCAAATTAATTAAATTTCAATAAATGGATCGTAATTTAACTTTATATTCGATTTATAATTTCCACCATTTTACGACAACCTGTAAGCGACACAGTACCAATTTTGGGCGCTGTGGGGTGCTAATCCTTCCCCACACGTAACCGACTCCCGAACCTGTTTAA